TGGTCTAGATTCCGTATTAAAATGTGCAAATATCAATTTAACCGGTGAATTTCTTTAAAAGTAATATTTTTAGGTGTAATTAGATGTAATTAGCTAGAAATTTACTATTTGTAGCACAAAAAAATGCTGTCTTCAAAATGATTTTTCCGTTACTAAATATTATATCATATATTAATTTAAATGAAGACAATTTAAAAATGATTCTTAATTTTAAAAATCCAACTCTAACCACTGTACACAAAAGCTTTCGATAAGCCAAAAAACGAAGGTGAACCTAAAAGAAGAACGAAGCTTTCAACTCTGTTAAACTTAACAGGGCAGTAGACAAGAATGATAAATAAAATATAGAATTCATGCACAGTTTCATCAGTTAATTAACGTCTAGCAACTTTAATTGATTAACAAAAACAAAATTTGGGCTGCCCTTTTAAGCTTTCAAAAGCTTTATAACAAAACTCAGTCTAAAAGATAAAAAATGCAGCAGCATATTTCTTAGAATATTCGATTATATAAACTCATCAGTCGACCCAAATTCAAACATTGATATAAACATGAATGATTTTATTTAACATGATTTGGTGTGTAGTTTATTCATCAATTAAATGTTCTATAATTTATACATATACATGAACTATTTATTTTCTTTAAATACATATTATTTCAACATTTATTGTTTCGGCTTGTGTTCATGATTATAGTTGTCGTTGCTGAAATGATTGGGCCGTCGTATCATAGAACATTTCCCCATTCACTCTTGTGACCAGAGACAACAAACAAATATATATTAATTTATGCAACTTTATGTAATATTCATTAATTTAGAGACAAATAAACAAACAGTATCTTTTATAGATCTTCATACTTTTTGTAGATTTCCACATTTAAAACGTTATTTTGCATTAAAGCATTGTTTTTGCACTTAATATTCCATTGTTTAGTTGAGTTGCTGTACAAATTGTTCACAAGGTTTCGGTGCAGGGACGGGGGGCGTTACGGAAAATAGGGGGCGGGGTTTTGTTTAATACTTGTGCGAACCGGTGAAACGTCTAACGTAAGAACAAAAAATAAAAGATAAACGGGGAGCAAACGAAAGTAAGACAAATAGCAATTGTTAATTTTTGTTGGAATGCTACGATTCTTTATGCGAAAATGATTAGACAAATTATAAACAATTCAAAGAGCACACACTTAAAACCTAACAAAAATAGTAAACTTTAACAAATGAAATTGTAGGTAGGACAATAGTAGTGTGTTGGCGGGAGTAACGACAATCATTAAGCAATTCAATTTATGTACATTGCAAGAAGGGAGTTCAATACTACAACACACATTAGAGTAGGTTTGCTCGCTTGGACGATATTTAACTAGTTATTGTTTTGGCTACGCTGGGCCTCTCCGAGATACACAAATCCAGGGTCTCAACGTAGGTTAGATATTTTGTGGTTGTATTGTGGTTTATGTATATATAGACGCATACACAGCGGGATATTGCAGGAGGTGGAGACGCGCCGCACGATGCGCCGCCGCCAGCTTAAATTATGAATGAAACAAAATTTTGGACAAAAATCAAAAACAAAACAATAAACAGAATCTAATGGCGCGAGTCCCTAGGGTAGAATTCGGCCAGGATGGAGGCCGGGATACGCTTAAGCATCTCCTTGGGGAAGATACGCAGCAGCTGCCAGCCGATGTCCAGGGATTCGAAGACAGTGCGGTTCTCGTAGTTGCCCTGGAATAAAAGGAACATTTTAAAGACGAGTCAACTTATATTAAGCGGTTTTAACTCACCTGCGAGATGAAGTTCTTCTCGAACTTGGTCAAGAACTCCAGATACAGCAAATCGTCGGGCGTCAGGGCCTCCTCACCCACCACAGCCTTCATGGCCTGCACATCCTTGCCGATGGCGTAGCAAGCGTACAGCTGGTTGGACACATCAGAGTGATCCTTGCGGGTCATGCCCTCGCCAATGGCGGACTTCATCAGACGCGACAGCGATGGCAGCACGTTGACTGGTGGGTAGATCTGTCTGTTGTGCAACTGACGATCGACGTAAATCTGACCCTCGGTAATATATCCAGTCAAATCGGGAATGGGATGGGTAATATCGTCGTTAGGCATAGTTAAAATGGGGATCTGAGTGATGGAACCGTTGCGGCCCTCAACACGTCCGGCACGCTCATAGATGGTGGCCAAATCGGTGTACATGTAACCGGGGAAACCACGACGGCCGGGCACCTCCTCACGGGCAGCGGACACCTCACGCAGAGCCTCAGCGTAAGAGGACATGTCAGTGAGGATGACAAGCACGTGCTTCTCGCACTGGTAGGCCAAGAACTCGGCTGCGGTCAGAGCCAGACGGGGAGTAATGATACGCTCGATGGTCGGATCGTTGGCCAAGTTCAAGAACAGACACACGTTCTCCATGGAACCGTTCTCCTCGAAGTCCTGCTTGAAGAATCGGGCAGTCTCCATGTTGACACCCATAGCGGCGAACACGATGGCGAAGTTGTCGGTGTGGTCATCCAGGACAGACTTGCCCGGCAGCTTGACAAGACCGGCCTGACGACAGATCTGGGCAGCAATTTCGTTGTGGGGCAGACCGGCGGCAGAGAAGATGGGGATCTTCTGACCACGGGCAATAGAGTTCATCACATCGATGGCCGAGATACCGGTCTGGATCATCTCCTCGGGGTAGATACGCGACCAGGGGTTGATGGGCTGACCCTGGATGTCCAAGAAGTCCTCAGCCAGAATTGGGGGTCCCTTGTCGATGGGCTTTCCGGATCCGTTGAACACACGGCCCAACATGTCCTCAGACACGGGCGTACGCAGGATGTCGCCGGTGAACTCGCAGAGCGTGTTCTTGGCATCAATGCCGGAGGTTCCCTCAAACACCTGGACGACGGCCTTGGAGCCGCTCACCTCGAGCACCTGGCCGGAACGTACGGTGCCGTCAGCCAAGCGCAGCTGCACAATCTCGGCGAACTTGGGGAACTTGACCTCATCGAGGATGACCAGGGGTCCGTTTACACCGGACACCGTCTTGTAAGCTGAAGGAAAAGAGTTTCAAAGATTAACATTATATCATACTTTTAAGATGTGTATTATAGAAATAAGTTATGGAAAAAGAGTGAAAAAAGTTAAATGTATTTAAAGGTATAAACAATTATAAAAACATCTAATTGGTAATAATTAAAATAAAGTTAATTTTCATATCTGTTTGGTCACGTGAGCAAGATATGATCTGCAAGCTAATATTTGTGAAAACTATATAGCATCCACACAATATTAGTAATTTTGTTTTCAAAGTCCAATTAGAAAAAGAAAACCGGTTCAAAATTGTGATGTTTCATAACAATGTTCATTAAGTCAGAAAGTCACTGAGATAATGAAAAAATCTAAATATTTTATAAAAAAAGATATCATTTTATTTTTTTCGGTAAAAGCCATTGGAAAAAAAAGTTATGATAAAATAGTAGGGCTTTTTTCATTATTTATTAAGCATAATGATTCTGATTAAAAACGATGCCTTATTAACAGGATTGTTTCTTCTTCAGTTATTTCATACAATAAAAAAGTATTTATAGCAATGATTCTGATTAAAAACGATGCCTTATTAACTAGGCACATTGTTTCTTCGTCTTCCAGTTGGATTTCATTACAATAAAAACACGAGTCGCGCAATGCTCACATGAAAGTGGGAATCTGATAAGAAAGCAAACGTCAAAAGAAAATGTGCGGGTGCGAGGGGGCGGCTAAATTATGTCAGCTGACTGTCCAACTGGTTTTTAGCCCTTGCCACGAGCTGCAGTGGGAATCTTATGAGAATTAGATAGGGAAAGGGGAATGCGAAAATGCAGACCAAAGATAAAAAGGAAAAACAAGTAAATTTAACAGCAAATAATCACGTAAGCGGTTGTTTTTTAACTGTTGTTTTTATGCAACGTTTTGGTTAAAAAATATTAGTTATTATTTATTTGTTTTTGGGTGGCAATGTGACAAAGTGACAATTACGTTATAAAATGAGAAGATTTATCATGTGTCGAAATAAATATTAATAAAATTGACACCATCGATAAAAAGTAGTTAAGATGCGGAGAATTGCCGACCGAACCGACCTATCACCCATTTTTCCTCCCACCCAGTTCGCAGTCAGGTGCCTTTGAGAGTGTGTCTGTGTGCGCTCTGAATGGCAAAAGCAAACAGCTGAGCAGCGAACGGTCATGTGACGGCGAAAATTTTCAATAAGAGTTAACGCTGATTACGGGGGTGCTTCCCTGAACTATCTAGTAAATTGAAGACCTAGTTGTCATTATAAAAAACATTCTTCTCTATAATTGAATTGTTATGCTGACAATTCTATATGTTATTGTAGTGGGTGTCGCAAGAATTTATTGATTTTTTCTCTACTCTGCCTCACACCAGAATCGGGCAAACTGTCATGGCGGACTTGCGTTTTTTCTTATTGGATTTCTTTTGCCACTTTATCGGAGCTTTCGAATGCATTTCTTATTTTTCTCACTTAAATTCTCAATTGTCTACTCACTCAAGCGGGGCTGGGAGATAAAGTCCCGGGAGACGGCGAGGACATGTTCCCGCTGGGCTTGTTGGGCGTTCATCTTGAATAGACTTTTTCTGCGCCTCCTCTACCTTGAAAATGCACTGCAAATTTCGAGCTGTAAATATTTAGGTTGTCAGTATGGTTTTCAACTTTGAGCACTTTGAATTTATAGGCACGTACAATTTTTCAGCTACGAAACAGTACTGAGCGACACACACGCAAAATTTTGGCCTGCGAAGTCGTTGCGAGTACGAGGAAAAATTGCCCTGGAACTGAAACTTTTGCTGAATCTGAATCTGCTGTGACGTCACGTGCCGTCACATGACCCGTCAGGCGTTAGTACTTTTGTGAGTTCTGACTTTACCAACATGGTCTATTAGTGTTTAGAGTTAGCAAAGTTTCGCACCCAATAAGCGTTGCCGGGCTGCAGAAAATCTATCGATAGTCTCGATTTCTGTAGCATGTTATCCCACAGAGCCCTGTTAATTATTGGAAAGTTTTTTTAATGGAACAATTTTAATTAAATTACAATAGTTGTTTACACGCTGCGGCAACTTGCTCCCTGTAAAAAAAAAAAACGAGTATTACGTGGGGATAGCTATTGCAAAGACCCAGATCCCGGTGCATCGGCAGCCACGACCAGCGACAAAGAACACAAAGAGAGACAGGTAGTGCAAAACCCGTTTCTTCTTGCATCCGATAAAAGGGGCGTCTATATCTCTGCTGATCCGGAGCCCCTGGCATTACAACACTATGATGGTTGAGTCCGATGGAACCGCCGATGCCACCCGCCGCTTGAACGTGAAGAAGCAGACACTGGACGATGCGTACGCCGTGCCCGCCAACTTCCTGGAGATTGACGTGGTCAATCCGCTGACCACTATGGCGGCGGGCAAAAAGCGCTACACGGATTATGAAGTTCGGATGCGGGTAAGTGATCCATGACCATGCATGGGGGAGTACCTTCAAAAATCGCCAAAAAACCGCTGATAATCACTGGAATTTGCTCACACACATTTATGTACGTGCTACTTTGTCTCGGTTTGCATGTGGTGTTTGTGTGTGTGCGTTTGTGAGGGTGATACGCCTATAAAGCGAACCGGGCGATAAACATTAGTCACAAGTGCAGAGCACTGATTCGGGGCTTGAGTCACGGATATCCGGCATGCGGGTGCCTTTATTTGGACCTGTCCTTATGTTTCATCCCATCCCATGAATTCACATTATATGTAAACAACTATTATTGTTTTTCAGACCAATCTGCCTGTCTTCAAGGTAAAGGAATCCAGTGTAAGACGACGCTACAGCGACTTCGAGTGGCTGCGGAATGAACTGGAACGGGACAGTAAGGTGCGGAACCCTTGGAAACATCTAAAATAAATTAGTTCTCACTTTCACGAAGTTTGATAGGGTTCTAGCATCGTTAGGGACTGATTTCCGTTTTCATCTGAAAGTTACATAAATGTATAAAGAAATCTAAGAAATCAAAAGATTTAAATCTAAAGAAATCTGGTAAAGTCTTGAGGTTTTTTTAGCTTCTCACTTCCTGTTTAAACTAAACTCATTTTCATTTATTGCATTTTATTGTTTATAAGAGGTGAAGTCATAAACTCCCTGCTTATTAGTCTGTTATGAGGCTGGTCTCGGTTTGTTGTCAAGTGCCACCATCTCTTTTTCTTCTTTATAAACTTTTATCGATTTTCTGATTTAGCTATAAAAATATATATGAAACACTGTTTAGATAATAATTTTCACATTTTGATGAGGTAAATTATTATTTGATTACTTATCTATGAGAAGCCACTCGTCTATAACAATTCTCAAGGGTTAATTTAAACCCGTATTTGTGAAAGTGAAAACTGAAGCTTTGGTATACAACAGCATTTAATCAATTAAATATTGCCGCAGATTGTGGTGCCACCACTCCCGGGAAAAGCCTGGAAGCGCCAAATGCCCTTCCGCGGCGACGAGGGCATCTTCGACGAGAGCTTCATCGAGGAGCGGCGCAAGGGACTAGAGGCCTTTATCAACAAGATAGCCGGACATCCGCTGGCGCAAAACGAGCGCTGTCTGCATATGTTTTTGCAGGAGAACGTCATCGATAAGAACTACGTGCCCGGAAAGATTCGCAACACATAAGCACCGGAATCCGGAGCAATCGAAACCCCTAACCATAGCAATGCAATGAAGCAACAACTCGAACGAACAAACCCGCTACGAAATCTTTAGGGAAGCCGTGTGAATGTGTGTGCTTGGCCAGATTAGAGGAGAAAGGAGTAGAGGAGTGGAGTAGCGAGAACGGATTAGAAGGGGACTGTTTATTATGCAACGCGATAAGAGGCGGGAAGTGCTGCTGCTCAGTTAATGTTGAGCCCCTCTCACCCCCCGGGGACTAGTTAAAAACCAGCATTGGGAATTTTTAATGCTAAATTCAAGTTTATATGGTATACATAACAATATACATACATATATATTATATACAATACAGATATTTACGAATAGTGTACATAAGATATGCCTACAACGCCCCTCGCTAAATGAGTCTCGAAAGTAGGAGCTGTCCCTCCCATTTTCCCGATCCTCAGTTTCTTCGTTTTGACCCATTGCAGCAGTAATGAAGCAGCAACTAAAATAAGGGATCCATCCTGACCCCGAAATCCATCCCTTGTACGTGTATGCAAGTTATTGAATATTTTGAAACAGTTTAGTGAATAATATTGTACTTCGAATCAAATTAAAATAATTCAAAAATAAGTAACCTGTAATATTATTTAATTGTAAAAGCGATTTATTCAAAGATCAAGAGTGGTATGAAATATAAAGTAACATGTTTCCGTTCGGATCGGAGTCAACTTGATCTTTATCGGGATCTCTGTTCGTATAAACGGAATATTACTTTTTATTACATTGCATATTTGAACGTTTTATTGGAATCCGGTAGATTATTATTTGCAGAAATTTCTTGCAGTAAGAGCCAGCAAAATCTTAAGGCTGTCTGAAAGAACAGCCGATCTATGATCGGATCATTTTTTTGATATCAAAGATTTGGCTCCACTAAAACAAACTTTATCAAATCAGGCAATAGAAAATAAACAGACGGGAAGAAGGATTTCCATGGCTAAGCGTTGGAAGCATACAACGAGAACGAGCCTAAATTTTATCAGCCACTCCTCGACAAAGTCCCAGCCCGTGGTAGTCTATCTCGAATTGTGTAACCATGAATCTAAATGTAAAGGTACACACGTTTCTGGGCTTAATGGCGCCACGACGCAGGCTGTAAAATCCCAACTAGAAGAGTTCCCCACTAGAAAACAGGTGGCCTCCATTTACCGCCATCATATGACTAGTATCGCCTGCCTAGAAAGGCATCTGAACTTCTACAGATTCGTTGAATCGCTAAACCAAGAGGTATCGATTAACATGTGCCATCCTCTGGGCTTGACCTACCGGGATAGAAGTTTCGATAGCTCCAAAATAGCTCTGACCAATGCGCTGTTTATCGCCTTCAATGAGGCGATCTCCACTGCGGCCTCAATGAGTACACTCAACGGTATTCTGCACTATTTATCAAGCTTTATGGCCTACCAAGCAAAGAGGCGATGCCGGAACTTCCAACTATTATCGACTGCGAGTGTTAGTCAACCTGAAAGTATACTTGTCGGCCGCATTTTGCGCCATATCGAAAAGGCGATGCGGACAAGGGCACTCGGCCTGATCCAACTATAACCTCATTCAAGGTCTACATTCGGCACTACTACTTGAAGATGCGTGACAAGGGATGGGACACACAGTTCGAAATGAGCCTTCTTAGCGAAGAGTTCGTAAAGATGAGTGCTACACTGGTTAGATCGTAAAAATCTTCGCACATATACATAGTTAATGTTTTTATGTCATAGTTGTATTTTTTGTATGATTTAATGTTTATAAAGGAAGTTTTTTATATATACTATATACGAGGGTGGTCCGATAAGTACTTATCCTACAAAAGAAAAACGAAAATTTTGTAAAATGACGATTTATTTCTCAACATAATGTCCTTTTAGCTCGATACACTTGACCCAGCGATCCTCCAACTTCTTTAACCCGTCTGAAAAATATGTTTTCCCGTTTTTTTTCATTCGACGCAAATTTCTGCCCAGCCAGTGACTTTTTTAAAAAGAAGTCACATTTGGCCAAATCTGGAGAATATGGCGGATCGGGTAACAGTTCGTAGCCGAGGGCGGAAGTGTGAGCCGGTGCGTTGACATGATGGGTCGTATTTCTGCAATTCGGCGGCAAATCGGCCCAACAATTCGGCATAGTACAGCCCTGTGACCGTTTAGCCCTTCTTCAGGTAGTCGATGTAGATCACACCTTGTGAATACGTAAAATCTGTGTGTTCGACTGTTCCTTGGTCTCTGGTGTGAACCAGTGGATCCATATCTCGCCGACGGTCACGAAACGACACAGAAATTCCTTCCGATTGCTCTTAAACAGCGTCAAACACCTCAAACACGGCACCTGACACGCGGCACCCATCGCGCCGACAGCTTCCTCATGCCAAAAATTTCATCCAGAATACGACCAACGCGGTCTTTTGAGATGCCAATTGTCTCAGCTATCTCGCGTATATTCAATCGGCGGTCTGCCAATACGAGATCGTGGATTCACGTTATCCTTCGTGGTAGCCGTTTTCGGGCACCTGGGCGTGGCTCATCAAATACCGCCGTGCGACCACGTTGAAACTCATTAAACCAATTTTTGACGGTCGCCATCGAAGGAGAAGAGTCATCCTACAAAAAATTCCTAAATGAAGGAATAATCGAATGGGTTTTTTAAAACTCTCATGGATAGGTCATTGCACCAAGGAAAATATTTAAAAAACACTTAGATTAGGTATTCTGCTTTTATCATATGAATTTAAAATTGGCGCGGCACAACTCGATTAGTAATCGATCGATCGATTTTTAGATATCGATTAGTTATAGTAAATCGAAAACTTAATAAAAAAAATTTATATAATTTATATTTTATATTGCCTAAATAATTTATGATTTTTTTAATTATACATTATGTTAAAAATTTTATAAAACGGTTCTAAATGTGTTTGATTAAAAGTGGCAGCTCTGCAGTAGTTACTTCTGGCAACTCTGTGTCATCTGTGGATTGGATTCGGTTTTTTTGTTTTTATTTATTTTTGGCATGGACTCGGCGGAATCTCCCACCAAAACGCAAGCCGGCGAGGATGAGAACTACAGTCTGCTATGCCAGGCACACGAACAGTTTAATAAGTGAGTGGGTATCTTTTCGACAACGTGAATCGCCTTAACCGCCTTTCCGGTTCCTTCTTCTCACAGTTCGGAGTTCGATCGCTGCCTGGAGTTGCTCTTGGAGCTGGAGACGCGTGGCGAGAGCAGTGGTCCCGTCCTGCGGCACAATCGGGCGGTGGTCAGCTACCACAAAACTGGGTGCACCCAACACTCCGTCCTGCTCAAAGAACTAGAGTCCCTTACCGCCGATGCAGATACTCCAGGGGAGGCATCCAGCGCATTGAGCCTAAAGCAAGGAGCCGCAGCCGCCACGGTGGCCCGGTACAACCGGGCGGTCATCTACTATCACCGCCATATGTTCGGGACGGCGCTGGAAAAACTTGCACCCCTGGTGGCTCGTCTGGAGGCCCTGGAGAAAGCCATGGCGGCGCTAGTTGCAACTCTGCAGCTCCAGCTGCTTCTTGCCACTAATCAGCTTAACCGTGCCGAGGCCTTTCTGGACTATTTGCAGTACAAGCTCAACTTGGTGGCCACTGCGCCTAGCAGCAATCCCGCCGAGGACCAGGCTGCCGTCGCCTCTGTTTCTCCGCCAGCAGCCACGACCAGTTCTTTGGTGGCTACGCCAGGAGGGGCAGCTGTTGAGGGGGCAGTGCCTGGTCTGGGCGGCAGCCTGCAGCTTTTACAGCTAATAACGCTCGTGCTGAACCGCAAGCCGGTGGTAATTCAGGAAGACGGGTCGCCGGAGTACGCTGCACTAAAGGCACAGCAGTACTACATAATGAAGGACTTCCAGATGGCGGCAAAACAACTGATGCGCATCAATAACGATTGCACCCAGGCGGGGTGAGTCTTAGTCATTTTTGCAACGAAGAAGATAAACTATGGTATTGTTAAACTTCACAGCACTGTAACGCCACAACTGAGCACTTGCATCGCCAACAACATGGGAGTAATTCATTTGAGAGTGCGTCACTATGCCATCGCCGCCAAATTCTTTCAGAACGCGCTCAATTTCGATCAGCAGCTGGCAAAGAATCTGCGCCAAAGTGCGCTGCAAACAATGAGCTCGGCACGATCCTGCGAGATCCTCTACAACCTGGGTGTGGCAATGCTGCACTTGCGCCGCCCAAAGGAGGCCTTTCAGTGCTTCCTGGTACCCGTAAAGCAATTCCACAGCAATCCGCGTCTCTGGCTTCGGATGGCTGAGGCCTGCATAATGGAGCATGAGGCGGTAAGTTTACAAATCCATCATGAGTTTATTAAGTCAACATTAAACTCAAACTTATTTATAACGCTTTGTTTTTAATGTGTCTACTAGAAGCATATTTGTATTAGCAAATCTATATATTACATAATATATTTTATTATCTTTTTATAGAAAATAATAGAGGAGGACCGACAATCGCAGGCAGGAGCATCGTCGACAAGCAAGCCATATGCGTATGTGCTATTTAGTCAATTTTGATTTAAATTGCGTTAACCTTATACTTTTAGTCCCCAGTCTGCGGGAGTACCAGAACCCACCCTTGAGTTCGCTACCTTATGTCTGCGAAGCGCTCTGACTCTTACGCAGCACTACAAAACGAAATTTCACATGGTGGCGGTGTCCTCGGAGGATGTGGAGTCACCCGAACCCAAGGACCCAACTCAGGAATCTTGGCGTCATCCGCAGGATAATAACTTTTGCAATCCCTCAAAACCGGTCAGTCTGGAGTCTTTGGAAAACATGATGGCTGCCATATATGCGGCGCACAGCTTCATTTCCCTTCGCCTTGGCGACCACGTTACCGCTCTTGAGATGGCGGAGCAGCTGCTGGCCTGTGAACGTCTCTCCGATGCACACAGGTATTAAATTGATTTCTATTATTTTTAATGAAATCTCGGTTAAACGTTCTTTACTTTAGATTGCTTGGTCACATGTATGCTGGCGAGGCTTTGATGCTGATGGATAAGGCAGCCGAAGCACGCGACCATTTAGACCCTACATTTGTTGGCACATTGAATGCTTTCGATTTTGAGACGCGGGACTGGCAACTAAAGTCAGTGGATGCCGCCCAGAACGTTGTGCGTTATAATCTGGCCGTAGCCATGGCCCTACAAAACGAACTGCCTCAAGCGAAAGCTCTTCTGTCCAACTTAAACCATGCGTTGGTGGGCAGCAAGGCTCTGGCTTTGCGACGCTTCATTGACCTAAAGATGGCGGGCGGGACGCCCAGTTAGAAAAACAAATTTTGTAAATAACTAGACGGAATTAAAGTACGAGATCGGAATGATGAAAAAATTCAGTCTTGAGTTTTGGTACGCATTTTCATAATTTTCCAGAAAACGGATATTGTAAAAAAAAACTGGCCATAGACCGATGTGTGTTTTTTGTTTCATAAGGAAAATATCTGGAATTTTACAAATTAGTTCGACATTAAAGTTAACGATAAACCGTTAAATATTAATTTTTTTCAGGTATTTTTAAAATTGGATCACAGTATAAATACTTAAGCCAAGCGATAATGGGGGTATTACTCCCTAAAATGTTGCGTATAACGATTGTCATTATATGTGTCTATATTGACATTGCCAAGGGAATAACCTCTGTAATTGGATTGCAGACAATATTAAGAGGTATTATAATTGTTTTTCTTTTTAAAGGCCGACATTATTGCATCGCACAACTACCCAGTGGAAGTTCACACAGTGGTCACAAGGGATGGATACATTCTCAACGCCTTCCGCATACCGTCCTCGAAGTTCTGCAGGCGATCTGGGCCAAAGCCTGCGGTTCTCTTCCAGCACGGCATGACCGCCTCGTCCGATGTTTTCCTGGTAAACGGACCTCGGGATGCACTGCCTTTTATGCTAGCTGATGCCTGTTTCGATGTGTGGCTTAGTAACTCGCGAGGCACCCGATACTCCAGAAGTCACACCTCTTTGGATCCCTCGAAAGGAGAATTCTGGCATTTTAGCTGGCACGAGATCGGAATAGAGGACGTGGCTGCTTTTATAGACTATATTCTGACTACCACGCATCAGAGAGCGCTGCACTACGTGGGTCATTCGCAGGGCTGTACCACGCTAACGGTGCTCCTTAGTATGCGCCCGGAATACAATAACTTGGTCAAAACCGCTATTCTGATGGCTCCGGCTGTTTTCATGGCCCACACTGCCACACTGGGACAGACTCTTTTAAGGCGATATATAATGAGGTTGCCCGACGGCGAATTCATGTTCCATAAAAAATTTCTAAACGACATCTTAGGAGCTACATGTGGGTTATACGTCGTGAGAGTTTTCTGTTCAACATATTTTATGATCAGCAACGGTAAAGTTTCCCAACATCTCAACACAGTGAGTATCAGAAAAATATTTTGAAGATTTTAATAAAAGTAAAATTAGTAAAAACTTAAGTAAAAACTTTTATATTTTCAGAGCATTGTTCCTTTGTTAACAGCCACGCATCCGGCGGGAATTTCTACACGACAGCCAAAGCATTTTATCCAGCTAACGGACAGCGGCAAGTTCAGAATGTATGATTTCGGGATTATAGGAAACATGATCACCTATAGAAGTCTATCACCTCCGGATTATCCGCTGCATAAGGTTCGACCCCTGACACCTGTCCACATCTTCTACAGCGACGACGACTTCTCGACAAGTAAGGAAGATGTTCTGAATTTTGCCGCTAGAGTGCCGCAACCGACGATGCACCGAATTGCTGAAAAGTCTTGGCACCACATGGACTTCGTTCACGCTTTAACCGTTGCTGAAGTAATTAACAAACCGATTATTGAAATTTTTAATAAGTTTGACCAACTAAAAAAATTTTAAGGAAACTTAATAAATAGTGATGTTATTACGCCTAAAAAATGTATTTTTAAAAGAATTATTATTTATTATTTATTATTATTTATTTGCAATTTATAGAAATGACTGCCACCGCTTTCGACTTTCAATAGAGTACATAAAAATAAGTTATCTAAGCTAGTAGTTAAAGTGGTTTTTATTGATTACCTCAAATCAACCATATCGTAGTTTCGTAATAGGAAATTAAAATTCTTCCGATTAGTTAGGCTCTACCTAGCATCCAAAGATGCAAAAGTGCAGGTATTTCTCTTCCAAATGCCTCGGATATTGCTTGTAATATATTTTGTCAACGCCATGTCAGCGGTAAGTAAAAGGAAGTTCTAAAATTAAGGATAGTACTGACAAGTGATTTTGAAGCTGATTTTTAACTGGCATCCACCACTTAAGAAACTAACTAAAGTACTAACCGGGGTGAGTTCCTGGAAGTTAACAAAAAGAAAACTTTTCATTTAGCCCTCCATAGATCGATATCATAGCTGGCCACAACTACCCAGTGGAGACGCATACAGTTACCACTAATGATGGCTATATACTGTCGAACTTCCGCATCCCGTCATCCGAGCGTTGTACAAATAACGAGAGAAAACCGATCGTCTTAATTAATCACGGCATGACCGGCTCCGCGGACACGGCTCTGCTGAATGGACCCAATGACGGTCTGCCTTATATGTTGGCCGACGCCTGCTACGACGTGTGGCTGAGCAATTGTCGCGGAACCCGGTACTCCAGAAAGCACGTCAATCTTAGGGCCTCGCTATTTAAATTCTGGTACTTTAGCTGGCATGAAATTGGAATGGAGGACCTACCTGCCCTGATCGACCATATTCTGTCAACCACAAAACAGAAGGCTTTACATTTTGTGGGCCACTCGCAGGGCACCACATCCCTAATGGTGATGCTCAGCATGAGACCAGAGTACAACGAGAATATAAAAACTGCCAACCTGCTGGCCCCTCCGATCTTCATGAAAAATTCCCTTTCATTGGGGCATAAACTTTTAAAGCCAGTATTGTCGATTTTGCCCGACTGTGAGTTAGGGCCCCATCACAAGGTGCTTAATACAGTGATATCTTCCATGTGCCAAGTATTCGGCATTAAGGAGCTTTGCACCGCGTTGTATCTGTACTCCAGCGGACGTGTGTCCCAACATATGAATAGAGTGAGTGAAAGCAGATTAGAGGTCGAATAGATTTCTTTATAATTGGGAGCTGATATTACTTTGGGCTGATATTATTTTTTGCTAATTCTATTTACAGTCCATCATTCCATTGTTACTTGCCACTCATCCGGCTGGAATTTCAACTAGGCAGCCAAAACATTACTTTCAGCTCAAGGACTCCGGCCGTTTTCGGCAATATGACTTCGGACGCGCAAAGAATTGGTTAACCTACAACCGATTTTCGCCCCCGGACTATCCGTTAGAAAATGTCAGAACGCTCTCACCGATCCACTTGTACTACAGTGACGATGATGGTACCATCGCACCAGCTGACGTCTCAACTCTGGCCAGCGAGTTGCCCAATTCTGTGGTGCATCATATCATGGAGCGCACTTGGGACCATATGGATTTTATTTTAGCTAGTAGCGTAAAATCTATGATTAATGAACCGGTTATGAAAGTTATCAGTGATTTTGAGCAACAAAGCAGGATTGAAAGAAGAGGAAAATGAAATGCGTTTTCACAATAATTATCTTAACATTCTACACTATTGTTGTATATTCTATTTTATTGTATTAAAGAGTTTGAATAATAAAAAAAGGCAACATCGAAATATACGTACATTATCCTTCGAGAGGAAATTGGATATTTTTAGAAAAGACTAAATTTAATTTGAATCAATGAAATTTGATATTCTTGTGTACTCTTCTTTAAATTTAATCCCTAACTTGTATCGACTTTATATTTTGTATTTTGTTTTAGGCTATCTATAAATTATTTATTTATTAATCAGTACATATATCCAGAGTTGATCTAGCAGATTCAACAGTGGACTCAGTTTCATAGTTCTACAATTTATTTTTGGCACTCGTGATAGTTCTGGCTGTGTTCTTTTCCGCCGGCATCCTGGCATTCCTCTACCGCTTTTTTCTTTTTAACGTCGCCGCTGTTCGTAGCGATTCATGGAGAGGACTATATTGTCAAAGATGTACTCCCTGACACCCAATCCACAGATAAAGTCGAAGTGGTTCCAACGTTTCCAGGGTACCTTGTACACCGCTTCTACGTTGGGCAGCCGGGTAAGCAAACGCCAGATGTCTGCCGGTGCCACTATGTAGTCGTTCTCAGAGAAGAAGACCGTAACTGGAGTTGATACGTTCTCGAGCGCGTACTCTGGTGGCTCCAGCTGCTGGTAGTGCAGCCAGTTTCGCTCCGGGCCGTAGTCGTATTGCCGGAACCGAGTGGACACATAACCCTGGAAATAGTGCATCAGCTGCTTCACTGATCCGCCCGCCGGAAAATTCGCCATCAGGTCGGGCAGTAAAGTCTTGTTAAGGAATCTTGTGTCGTAGCCAACGGCTGGCCAAAGCCGACTGATGCACACCAACGGCTTCTCGTTCTCCAGACATGTCATCGAGAGAAACTTCTTAAAGAACTTGTTCGTGGAGAACATCTCTACACCCTCGAGCATCTTAGAGACGTAGTTCCGAGTGCCCAACACCGGACCGATGACCTTGGCTAGTCCACTTTTTGTGTTGCTCACATAGGCCACCGGGGCCAAAAGAGTGGCACTTTTAAAGACGGCATTATACTGCGGCATCATCGAGTTGAGCACTAGGAAGACAGTGCCACCCTGTGAGATTCCCACGAAGTGCATGGCTCTCTGTCCGGTTGTCCGGAGCACATAATCCACCTGGGCGGGCAAGTCGTAGACGCCCATCTCGTGCCAGCTAAAGTCCCAGAACTCGCGCTCCGTGGTGTTCCGCCACATGTTTTTCCGGCAATAAATGTTGCCCCTATTATTGCCCAGCCACACATCGTATCCGGCTCGCCACAGGAGGTAAGCCAGTGAGTCCTCGCGTCCGTTCAGAAGCCATCTAAAAATAAAAGAATTTGATATTGGTATCGGAAATTGCTATATCGTTCTATATGTTCTTTTAAAGTTTTAATTATACCTTTTTTAAAATTAAATTAATTAATATTATTTTCTATTTTTCGTTCTAAGAATATTTAAAATTGGGTTTTATAAATTTCTGGTGGAATTCTACCTATAAACAAATATTTATGGCTATGTTTTTACTTATCTATTTCTTAATTCTTTAAAGCGAAGGAAAACTTATTTACTTATTTACTTTTGGAAAAGTACATATACGCTCTGCTTTGATAAAATCTGAAAAGGATCTCAATAATATTGTTAAAATAATCTTGATTTTTCGATAATTATTTAAGAACTTATCATATCGGCTTATCGGATAAGAACATCCAATAATTCATAGCTCAACGGTATTTATCAGAAAGATAGGAAAATTATTTATCCATAATAATAATGAATTTTAAGATGTTAATTTTTAGTAATGAAACTTAATAATCATTTTCTGACTAACAATCGATGTATAATGCACTTAATTCTTTAAACCTTATACAGTTTTCTTGGTATCCAAAGAAAATGAAAATATAGAAATAAAATGAATCACAATGAATTTGCCCTTGATAACACTTGTATTGTCCTTAGGTTCTTTTAATGTTACTTATCTACCAGAATCGGAAGTTTATGTTGGTATATGTTATATGGTATACAATACTACGCACACATCCGACGAGGCGTAAAGTCCGGATAGCAGGAAGACGATAGGACGCCTTAGAAGGCTGCCTAGTACGGGATCCACCTGCGGGATGCGGTGTAGGGTCAGCACATATCCGTCCTTTGTCGTCACCGAGTGGCGCTCCACGTTGTAGCCGTCGTTCTGAATGCGCCGCACCTGCAACGGATAACAGATAACCAACAGGTAACCAAACGGAGGCAGGAAGCGAAGGCAAGGCACTCGGGCCAAAATCCGAAATGCAAACACAAATTGTTGGCACATTCAGCGCTTGACATTTGGAGGCCACGCGACGCGTGCGTTGTGACACTTGGTTAATTAGGAATTCCGCTGGCGAACCGACCTGGGGTTTACCGCTCCTCCCCATCCCCAGTCCGCAACTCTTGGCCAGGAACACCTACCGCATCTGTGATGATAATTTCGCGCGACTGACGCACAGTGGCCCTGGACACCTGCTGCAATCCGAGCAGCGCCAGACACAGCAGCACCACTCGCTCCCGTCGCATGCTGACCAGGATTATGGTTACATGAACGCCGCACGCTGGGATTAAGTAACTGGGTAACCGATCAGAAGTCCAACCGGTTCGCAATCGATCGCAACGAAAATGAAAATGAAAACGAAAGCTGCCCAAGGATCGGGGGTTTTAAGACAGAAAGACAGCACTTTCTTTCCAGCGCCGAGCTTTCAAAAACGCCGAAATCGAAAATGAAACCAAACTAAAACCGTATGAATGGATATGAATGGGAATTGCAATCGAAGTGCCGTTTTCTTGTTTCTGGCGGTACCGCTGCTAGCGTTCGATTCGAATGTGCTTTATCGACTGCGCATGCGTCCGCTACTCGCAGGGCTTGCCACTCATTTGAGCGGTTTTGGCGGCGGAGCAGAGCTCCAACCGGTGAGCCACCTGCATGGCATGGCATAGCTTGGCCTGGCAGTCGCTCAGCTCAAGTTACCTGAGCGCCCAGAGCAACAGCGCATCCAAGAGTCTCGGCCTCTGCCGGCATACACTGCGAGTAATATCAATTGCCGCCGCCCCCACTCCAACGTTTTCCCCCGACCTGCCAAAGCTCTAAAAACCCTCGAACCCCCCTACCTTCCGAAAATCCAATCAGTTGGCATGCTGCCACGGCAATTTGAGCAATTATAACAGCTTAGCGAAAGAGAGAACGCTATCCAAAAATGTCAACGACTATTACAGTGGGCGAATACCGCAGAAACAACCTCTAGATGAGATTAAATTTTAAGCCCTGAATACCAGAAGAAAGTGAAATTGACCTTGTCCAATAGAAAATCCCAATGTTATACTCCTCTTGGCAACACACAGATTTACTTCAAAGTCCTTGAATCGAATTTGAATTTGGGTATGTTTAGTTAGCTATCTTTAACTGAAAGCTAATGATATGAAAGTAACTATTTTTCTTTTCCAAACGATATTTGTATATTCCTGTATACTTAAACTTAAATTTCATTCCCTCTATGAAAATGCTTAGGTATCTTTTTTGGAAAACCTTTTCTGAAACCCAAATTTAATCTGTAAAAAACAATGGATTTAGTAGTAGCGGGCCAACCGTATTCCAAGAAAATGATTCATATCACCGAATGACTATGTTGACAGCTCATAGCTTTAAAATCTTATCAATCTCATAGAATTTGTAGGGCCAGCACTACTTACCCATTCCAGACACATAAAACCAGATGATAAAGAAGATAAATACCCCCAATAAGCTTAACAATATGAACAACTCACGTGCCGTTAAAAGTTATGCACATCACATACAATTTATTCATGAAAGACAATTGGTTTTGAGCAGTGTATAAATTTTTGGGAGCTACTTACTTACCTTTTTTTTGGCTCTGACTGTGGCTGTGTGTCTCTGGCAGCGACTTGGTTTTTCGTCGCATTGTTGTCGTCGGTGGCCGTTGTTTTTTCGCTGAATTGCAATAACCTGTTGCCTAATGAAAACGGCGGCTGCTTATTTAGGATGTGGCCTGGCCTGGCCTGGCCTGGCCCAAGTACTCGCACTTAGTTGCCAGCAAGCATATGGTATGGCATGTATATATGTTCGTACCCAACGGAGTACCTTTGGATACCCATAGTCTTCTGGTGTTTATGTTTGCCTACTTGAAAGACAATCGACAGCTCACCCGCCAATCTTCCACTGCTCTCACCATTCATTCAGCGGATCGCTGGAGAGCTTTCTGTTTGTTTATATGGCTTTTTAATAGCTCGTCGACAGCTGCGAAAGGGGTTGTAACTGCTGTGTACACGGTTTCTACTCCGTTTCATCAATGGACCGCACCACTGCCCCACTGTCGGCATTGACCCACCGGCCGCGACTCACGTACTGGCCGACCCACCGAGTGATTACCCAGTGATGTGGGGTAGGAAGTTTAATTTGCCTAGCTACCAGCCCTGGTACCTTATCTTCAGATACCGGGAAATGATTGATCGACATTTCAGTTAGGGCAGGAAAAATATGATCTTAGAAATACGAGTATGTATGGTTTAGAAAGTGTTCTGAAGACAAATACTTTAAGTTTTGTTTGTTCAATTTTACTAACTGTATACCTAAAAATGCAATCGAAACATACATTTTATTTTAGAAAACACTTGTATTTTAATTAAATTATAAATTGGGTTCTACGGTTACCTTCCCTTAATGTACCCTGCACACTACCTTGACCAAAAATGGTACCGTTCCCATCACTACAACATTGTTGGGTAAAGCCCAAGGCGGGTCGCTCATACATATGATTATGGCTCACAACTCAAATGTCCATTTGTTTGGCGTTAAAACAGTTTACGCTAATTCCTATTGTGACACATGCGACACTGTTTGACGCGTGTGACTGCGGCGGATCAAGTAAAACTGTTTAGCTAACAGGTTTCGACAATTAAACTTGAGGCACTTGAGTCGGGCAATTAAACGGGACAGGGTCTCTCGGTCCATGGGCCATGGGCCAGGGGCATCTTTCAGGGCTCCGGGTGGCTAAAGCCTCCACCTCGTGTGACTTTCTTTCACTTTCGACTAATGGATTCTATGTAATTGAGGCCTAAACACTCCATAATGCATACTCCATGTCGCACTCCATTGCCAAATTTGTTTGTTTATTTGGGCCTGTGTGTTTGCCCGCACAAGTGATATCCGAGTGATGCAAGCAAAGGGTATAAGTTATTATGTAAACAGGTATGGATAACCATCGGTAATTATATGATGAGTTCATATTTCATTTATTTACCATAGATGTTTATTTCCTTTTTAAACATCGGTTTTAAACCGCAAGTAACGGAGCTGTGAAACGATAAGGGCCGATTAAATTTCAAAACATTGACGGAAAAGCTAACTGACTTATGTAAAATATGATAGCTAAATCGTATTGATTTCACGCAAAACTCTCCTAGCAAATTTCAAGATCTTACTTCCACTTCTTACTAAAGTAGAAAAGCAAATTACATAAAGTGGAGATAGGGTATACAGCTCTCATTGCCCAAAAATTGGTAACACTTTCGTTGACCGCGGAGTCATTCACTGTTGACAGTTGCGTGGTGTGAACTTTGTATTGAACTTGAAACTGGAGCTGGACAAGATCTGCATAATGCATAAGATGGGTTTGTGTGTCGGTCACAAATCAAAGACCGTTTAGCTTTTCCGCCGAACAATGAGCTGACATTTCACTTTGAGTGCTCTGCTTTCTGATATGCATTCGGTTGCGTTTTCTTTCTTTCTTTCTTTTCTTTTAATTATTTTTTGCTTCTTCTTTTTCCCAGTCCCTCTGGAAATGCCGGTTCGGTTTCCGGTCGACCCAACGAAGTTTATCTAAGCCCAAAAGGGCGCTTATCATCATTTTGTTGCCATCCGTGTTGATATGTTAGGTTCATAAATCGAAAGTGAGTGAACTCAGCATGGAAAAATCGAGTCGATTTAATTTATTTTCCATAAACACAATTCTTATCAATTAACTTTCTAATTATATAAAGCTGTATTATATATGTATTTTGTTGATTTTATTATATATATTATATAAGTATATAATATTATTTGACTTAGCTTAATAAAAGGAGTTATATATGAATATGATAGTTTTAGAAGAAATCGATTCAGTTATTAGGAACTAATCACCAGTTTCCTAACAAAATGACGGGTTGAATCGTGTCGTTAAGTCACTGTGCTAATCCCCTACTAATTGTTTCTTGATGCGTTTGTAACTCGATAACCAAGCAGTAAAGGATGGCCTTGGTCCAGGAGTCGTTACCTGGGCGGGAGTCTACCTGGGAGTCTGTCCCGCTAATGATCCGACTTTAGCCCGCGCCTGCCTGACTCACAGCCGCAGCATATTTACAACTGTCGGCTAGACGGACAAACAAGGCAATCGGTGGTCGTAAAAAAAGCGAATAGCAACAAATAAAACAGAAAAAAAATCTCAATAACAAAAAGCCGCCTCCCCACGACTTCGACGACAACAAAAGGAACACATCGAGGCCTCAGGAGGAAGTGCCGACGTTTTCGTCATGACTAAGCGTGGTTACTCAAAGGGAAACCAATTGATTCCTTCCTGTTGCCGTCCCCAGTACATTGTCCAGTGTCCATCGTCGGTCACCCGTCCTCCATCGTCCACCATCCACCGCAGAGCCACGAAGGCAATAACAAAATCTAAATATTTAACGACTAAATTGAATCTGAAGGCGCGCGCTCACTCACATCAGGCAAATTTTCCAGCCAGACTTGGCTGGGGTTACCTGCTGGCATAATCAATATGAGATAAGCAGTAGGCCGACCGGACAGCATTTGCGACTCCATCCAATCCATTGAAATGGCTACATCACGTAATGGAAAATGTTGCAGGGAAAGCCTACACGACCAACCACGGTGAGAAAAGCTCAAAACAACTATGTCCAGATGTGAGTACCAGTGCCTGTGGCCTATGTCGATGTCAACAGGCGTACGAGAAGTTTGGGCATTCTGTCAGGCAGCCGCCAGCCAGTCAGACTGCCATGCAACCAGCAAGTAGTTGGACGACCTACCAGACCAGCATCCATTCAGTCACTTGGCCGGGAAAGACCCCCGTGGACCGCAGCTCTTAGAAGCTGGAGGGGCACTCTACCTCTGATTGTGATGGTTCGTTCTCCGATTCGAACTGGGCGGACTCAGGCGAGCCAAATCATTCACAAACAAAACATAGAGAGGCTGAAAATTGATTCGAATCAGCTGTCACTGGATGGATTGCCATGGAGTGAACATGATTAGTCAAGGAAAATCTTTATTCGCCAAGGAAGTAATTGAATTTGCAGCTGTTCAAATAGTTGTCAGCTATGGGGTGTTAAAGATGGTTGTTAAAATGAGGAACTTATATATATATATAATAATTTATGAATATTTATATATACTTTTTGTTTATTAAATATTTATTTAAAATTACTATTTGCCTTTGACTTAGGCAGTGGTATACTGATTAAGGGTTTATGTTATGTATCTATGTTATGCATTACCTATTTTATAGGAATAATGTACATTTGTGTTGCTCATCATGTCAAGTTATGTGGATACTTTCCTAAGATAATCACTTTTAAGTACTTGACCAATGATTCCTATCATTTCCCTTTAAAATTTGACTTCTTTTACTGCCCTAATTATTGGCCCAATCTCTGCTCAGACTGATTACAGGTGATATCAAATATTTGGTTAGTCTTACCAGGCCGACCCTTATTGTTCCTACTTTTTTTGTATTGGAGCTCTTGTATTGTACCAAATAAACAATAAGAGTGCTGGGCCGAGGGCAGTAGGATGGGGATTTGACTGGTATGAACATAGGGCCTTAGGTAGACCCGACTGGTCCAAGCTCGAAGGAAAGAGGAGGGAACTGCCTGCGGGCGAATTGGCTGCCAAGCACTCGCACAATAAGGGGCTTGATGTCGATGACGCTGTGGATCTGGAGTGCTGGCCACAGCCGGGCCAAAATGTTGGTTTAGTTTTTCTTTGGTTTGGGGCCGGCGCTTGGGACTTGCACTTATCAGACCAACACACATATGTAGTGTGTATTGGGAGTTTTAGGGGGCAGGCCAACCCACTTACTTGCTGCAGAAGCCGCCTGCCTGCCAGTCCCTATTATTACCAGAGAGCAAATAAACTCAGGCAAAGGCGTATGATGTATCTGCCGCCAGTAGGGTAGGTATAGGCAAAGAGCAGGGGCCGCGGTAGGGGCTGGAACCGGCGTCGTCATCAATGTAACGAAGGCAGCACATGCATTGCCTGCCACGGCAGCAGCAGCAGCAACAACAGCAGCAGAAGCGAAGCAGCAACACAAAATTCCAGAGCGCACGCGTTCTCAACTTTAGTTCTTTGCGAGTAGCCAACGCGTTCGGTCGTCGTGCGTGGTCGTCTGAATACCATTGAAAACCACTGGAAGCCCCTAAAAACCGGAGTTAATGCGAAGTTATAGCAACAGCTGAAAGTCTCGAGAACAACTGCAGCTGTATACTTTATCTACTTCTGAGTATCTGTGCGCATCCCGTGTTTCATAGTGTTAGTGTCTGTGCGTGTTGGCCAGTTGATTTCGGTCGGGCCCGTCAAACAGGGAGCGACAACCTAATCAATCAGTCACTCAATATGGCCAGTATTTCTAAGAGTCGCGGCAGCTGCTCCTCCAGAAACACGCTGCATCTTCAACTGGGATCTCTGCTTTTCGTGATCGCCTGCCTGGTGAACGCTTCGTGCTCGGCTCAGCCAAGTGAGTACCATGAATATAGTGAGTATGCCTCATCTTATGCTAGCCAAAACGCTCCATGGGACGGGGCTGCATTGTTGCCTCCCGTCCCCATCATCATGATTGTCGTAATCACTTGCAGCGGCTGCTGCTGCGGTCGCATCAGGCCTTTGACTTATATATATCTAGGGGGCCTACTCTTCTCCTCCTGGTGCGGTGTGGCTTTATAGCGATTTTCCTCGTTTGCTGCGCTTTTTGCGATTTGGCTTGGCATAATTCAAAACGAGCGTAATTATGCCACTGCCGCGGAAGAGGCGACACCGAGACCACCGAGCTCCCCCATCTGTTTGTGTGCAAACCCCAAACGGTGGCACTTGGGTGTCATATAAATGCCCCCATCAGTAGCTGCAATTCATGCTCGCCGGCAGCGTGCGAAAGTTCAATAATGTTTGGTAACAGGCCAATCGAAGCGGTCACCGCAGTTCAAATAGGGCGATAAGGCGGTTATATCGGGGTAAGCTCCCAACTGTTTATTCGGAGTCAAGATCGAGGAAACGGGGGAGAGTTTAATGGCACTCAAGTTGCAGTAATCGGGGTGAACAAACCCATATCACTTATTAAATTATTAACGGACTCGGCTCGATTAAAGGATCATTGATCTTATGGCATGTTCCCATGTTGCGTTATGTTGGACATGTAATTTCTCTCACTTAAACACCAAAAACATAATTCCTATGGCACACCCATCCCGAAAAAGGGAATGACAGCTGACACTGGCCTGGTTTGGGCCACTGCGTCGACATCTGCATCTGCAACTGCGGCAAACTGCGTAGCCAACCGAAAAGAAAATCGATTTATTTTTCGTTGTATCTGTATTTTTCCTATAAATGCCATTTTCCTCATTTGGTCGTCTCTTTGTTTTTGTTTGTGCGGCATGCTTTGTCCCATTTTAAGACCCAAAGACAGACTCTGGTGTTATTGTAGCTATTTGTTGTTCTTTGGTATTCGTTCCCAAGGGATTGGGACTGAGAATTCGAATAGAAATGGGCATGGATCGACCGCCCATGCATATCTCATGCAGAGCATCTAATAATTCCGCTTTTCCACGAAACGAGTTGCATCTTCTTAGAGGCCAGGCACAAGGGATAGGGATTGCAATCCGGAATGGTTGGGGGAATGGAATAGATGTCCCCTCATAAATAAGTCAGCTACTTTATAGGCACACAATGCGACAGGCTGGGCGGGTTGCCCGGTCTCGTTGGTTTGTTTATTTGGTTACTAATTTGGGATTCCTCGATTTGTCTGTGGTGTCTGGAGTGTGTGCATGGAATTTTAATCACTGCCTCCGTCCGTCCAAGTGGCCAAGCATTTTGAGTAATGGGGCGCGGGCGAACGTCTTCGGAAGAGAATTTGGGTTGATCAAGTGACGTTTGGCTACCAGGGAAGGCAGGCAAACCTGCGACCCAGTTGTGAATGAATGTGTGAGAAAATGTTCACTGATGACAGCGATGATAGCCGCCTAGATGTGGCTATGAATGGACCGTATCGATGTTGCTTCTTACCAGACAGACAAATGCTATTGGCTGATGCCAATCGAGACCCATAAAGAACCCATCGAAAAGGCCTAATGGCATTCGTGTTGAATATGGATGTAATATTTGTTTATTAGCGCGATAAATGGGAAGTTTATCAATGTAGCGGTCCCTCTATTAACATCGTTCGAAAATACATTTTTATTAATTTCCGCTTTTTAATGCATTCTTATGTATTTTGGGGAAAGTTTGGGAGAATCTTTTAATATTTTCAATGCCTATATATGCATATTTGGTTGGGTACTTGCAACGTATTCTCAATTTTTTCGGAGAAAGCCGAGCCTAGTCATCGATATAATGTTTTGTTATTAATAATTTAACTTCTCTGAAAATCTCAGTATTCATTCCACGAATCAGCAATCACACTTGTTTTTTTTTTTTTCATTTGTATAAATTTTTCTTAAATAATGGTGTTCCTTATATTACATATTACATATTTCCATTAATAGTACACAGAAAATATGTTTCGCTATTTACATAGCATTCGTTTGTGTTCTTTTTAAAATAAACAGGTATATAATATTTATTAGCTTACACATTGGCAAAATTCTACATGCCCCTACATTTTATTGACATTCTACAATATGCCTACGTTACATAGCATATATATTTTTGAGGTTTGTGTTTTGGCTAGATGGTTTTTACTTTTGCTAAATAAGAAGTAGGAAAATAATAAATTATCCAATTTTCTCCTTTTAGTCGAGACAACCCCGTCGCCAGTAGAAGTGGACGAAGTGGAAACCACGACGGTACTCCCTCTAGAGTTGGATGAGAGTTCACCTGCGCAAGAGCCACCGTTTCAGAATGCAACAGTTGGTGCTGCTACTTCAGAAGAACCCAAGATAAATGAAGCGAACTCTTCAGATCAACTGGAGTTAACCGACGGATTTGTGTCTGTTTACGGCGGAACCCTGGAACAGGATATCAAGAATGATGTGAACAGTGAGGTGGAAGAAGCGCCTTCTCCTGTGGAACCTATTATCGAAGATGCTCTTGCTGAAGCTGCTCTTGAAAAACACGAGAGTGAGTGATATAACTTTATTGATTTTGATTTAAATCAATGCAATTTTTTTCACAGTTGCAATCAAAACTGTTCGCGAACCCAAAAATCTTAATGCTGAGGAGGGGCTTAAGCCAATTGAAGACGAGGAGTTAGAGGACCAAGCGGAATCCGAGGCAGTAACAGACAATATTGCCGAGTCCAGTGAAAATGTCGAAAGTCACATTGAACCATTACCAGAAGTGACCAGTGACGTGGTTTCTGTGATCTTAAACGAAAATGGAGCCATCACAGCGGAACCCATCACCGAAAACAATCTTTTGGCCTTAGAACGGGAAGATGGGCGTTTCGAAATTGAAGACACCACTCCGGTGCCAATCTCTGTGGAGTCCAAGCACCAAGTGACCAAGAAACAAGGCGTAGAGGAACTGTTTTCAATTGGAATTGCACCTGACGTGGTCGAGGAATCAACGTCTAAGCCTGACGGAGAAATTTCGACTGCTCGCGAGGAACGCAAATTTGTAGAGCCCAATGACAACCTAATCGAGGTCAATGAAAACACCATTGCTGATGGAGAGTTGCAAACCAAACCATCAATTACGGAACACCATTTTGGCATCGTGGATCCCACAAAATCTGGAGTTCAGGTAAATGAGGAGATCGAGAAAAACGCGGAGGCTGAAGCTAAGGCAGAAATTGAGGTGCAAGTGGTGGGCATCACTCCTTCGGATGAAACTGTTGTTGAGGCCGCAGATTCAGATGATATACAACCTCAAATTAACATTGCTGAGACAACAGAACAAGCTGTCACAGAAGCTAACAAAATAAGCGACGAGGAACCAAAAGATAAAGTTTCAGTTCATCAAAATGATCCAAAAGACCAGATTTACCAGGCATCTCTAGAGGATAACCATAAGCCAAACGACACTGAAGAGTCGGTGAAAGAAGAGAGCTCCCCAAAGGATGATGATGTATCTTTAGAGGTGAAAGATAGTGAAGAATCGAATGAGAAACAAACTGAAGATGAAAAGGCAGTAGTTGAAGTCGACTCCTCTGAGGATAACAACGAGCCTGCTGCGGATGAAGAAAAGCCCTTTTCAGACGATAGTACTGCGACTCCACTTGTCTCTTATCCACCACACGACGCTGGTCAGACATTCGTTAGCAACTCGGCTGATGAACATTCAGCCCAGCTTTCTGGAAATTCTAATTATCGTTCCACCATGATCATATCCCTGTGTTCCGGAACCGCTGTGATTTTTATTGTCGCCTCTCTGGTGATTTTCGTGGTTTCGTTCCAACGCCAAACTGGTACTTTGGACATAGAGATGCAGGAACAGCGCCTAGGCAAAGATGTTCAAGACGAGGATAATGCACAGATGAAGCTGCTCGATGTAGATCTTTCGTCTCCCGTTATTCTTCCGATGGGCAACGAGGAGACAGACGAATGCCTGTAGACTTCCTCAGCACCATGATCCCTTAAAATGGTGCTTTGTAAATATTCATTACCTTTGAGATTGCGACGAAGACTTCAGCCTGCTCACCCGGCTGGCTGATAATTTTGATTTCTAAATTGTTGACTGAGAGCAGCTGCAAGCAAAGCAAACGAAAAATCGAATCGAAACGAAAACATTTGCCATACTGTTTAAATTTTAATGCACTGTAGGACCTAAGACTTTCTAAGCATTTGACAAAAATATTTATATTTAGACACATAGAATTAAGCGGATTTTTATAGCGTCTGGTAAATCAGAATAAATTTAAAAATTTCTTTAAATCAAATTGCTCGTTGTTGTCTCAAATTAAAAATATTGCCCATCTACTGCTTTTACTTAAGATAAAACTGTTTAACACCGATTCATTTATGGTTCATAAGTTTTTAGATAATTAAATTAGAATGATATGTCAAGTCACTTGATATGACAAATTTGGCGAGGATTTGATTTGATTGACTTTAACTGAAGGCGGTAAATGGAATTTGTCTCTCTTTATTTTGCGACAAATGAACATTTTTGCTAGTCATTATCAGTTCAATTTTTGCAATAAAGGCCAATAACAAAATGTCAAAATTTTCGCTTTTTCGTCAGGTCGGAGTCCATCAATTTATGTAAAAAGGCCAAACAACAAATTGCTCTTTTTTTTTTGGTTTTTATGCCATAATTCAGCTAAAAGAAGTTCTAGAGCTAAGTCCAAAACGGTTTTGTGCAACTTTCGACCGCAACTTTCACCCCATAAACTTTTGTGGCTGAATTCGGAAATTTCATTTTAGATAAATGTTCACTATTTTGCAGGTCGGGGGTCATAAATTTTTGCAAAAAGGCCAAACACCAAATTGCTCATGTTTGTGGCCGAATTCAGAAATTTCATTTTTGGCCAAATTTTCACTATTTTTACAGGTCGGGGGTCATCAATTTTAGGACAAACCACAAATTACTCATTTTTCTTGGTTTTTATGCCACAATTTATCCGAAACAAGTCCTACAGCTCAGTCAAAGACTGCTTTGTGCAGCTTTCGACCGCAACTTTCACCCCATAAACTTAAAAAGCCAAACACCAAATTGCTCATATTTCTTGGTTTTTTGCCATAATTCAGCCGAAACAAGTCCTAGAGCTGAGTTAAAGACTGTTTTGTGTAGCTTTTAACCGCAACTTTCACCCCATAAACTTTTGTGGCCGGATTGGGAAATTTAATTTCTGGTCAAATTTTCACTACTTGGACAGGTCATCAGGGGGTCATCAATTTTTGCAAAAAGCTGAACACTAAATTGCTCATATTTCTTAGGTTTTTGCCATATTTCAGCCGATACAAGTCCTAGAGCTAAGTCAAAAACTGGTTTGTGCAGCTTTTGACCGCAACTTTCACCCCATAAACTTTTGTGGCCGAATTGGAAAATTGCATTTTTCGCCAAAATTTTCGTTTTTTTGACAGGTCAGGGGTCATCCATTGTTGCAAATAAAGGACAAACCACAAATTACTCATTTTTCTTGGTTTTTTGCCATATCGCAGCCGATACAAGTCCTAGAGCTTAATCAAAGACTGTTTTGTGCAGCTTTCGGCCGCAACTTTCAACCCATTCCGAATTCGGAAATTTCATTTTCAGCCAAATTTTCACTATTTTGACAGGTCGGGGGTGATCAATTTTTGCAAAAAGGCCAAACACCAAATTGCTAATTTTTCTTGGTTTTTATGCCATAATTCAGCTAAAACAAGTCCTAGATCTAAGTCAAAGACTGTTTTGTGCAGCTTTCGACCGCAAATTTCACCCCATAAACTTTTGTGGCCGAGTTCGACTTTAAATTTTTGTCCAATTTTTTCACTATTTTGACAGGTTGTTGGTCTTCAATTTTTGCAAAAAGGCCAAACACCAAATTGCTAATTTTTCATGGTTTTTGTGCCATAATTCAGCTAAAACAAGTCCTAGATCTAAGTCAAAGACTGTTTTGTGCAGCTTTCGACCGCAAATTTCACCCCATAAACTTTTGTGGCCGAGTTCGACTTTAAATTTTTGTCCAATTTTTCACTATTTTGACAGGTTGTTGGTCTTCAATTTTTGCAAAAAGGCCAAACACCAAATTGCTAATTTTTCATGGTTTTTGTGCCATAATTCAGCTAAAACAAGTCCTAGATCTAAGTCAAAGACTGTTTTGTGCAGCTTTCGACCGCAAATTTCACCCCATAAACTTTTGTGGCCGAGTTCGACTTTTAAATTTTTGTCCAATTTTTCACTATTTTGACAGGTTGTTGGTCTTCAATTTTTGCAAAAAGGCCAAACACCAAATTGCTAATTTTTCATGGTTTTTGTGCCATAATTCAGCTAAAAACAAGTCCTAGATCTAAGTCAAAGACTGTTTTGTGCAGCTTTCGACCGCAAATTTCACCCCATAAACTTTTGTGGCCGAGTTCGACTTTAAATTTTTGTCCAATTTTTCACTATTTTGACAGGTTGTTGGTCTTCAATTTTTGCAAAAAGGCCAAACACCAAATTGCTAATTTTTCTTGGTTTTTGTGCCATAATTCAGCTAAAACAAGTCCTAGATCTAAGTCAAAGACTGTTTTGTGCAGCTTTCGACCGCAAATTTCACCCCATAAACTTTTGTGGCCGAGTTCGACTTTAAATTTTTGTCCAATTTTTCACTATTTTGACAGGTCGGGGGCCATCAATTTTTGCATAAAGGCAAAACATCAAATTGCTCATTTTTCTTGGTTTTTATGCCATAATTCAGCCGAAACAAGTCCTAGAGCTAAGTCAAAGACTGTTCCATGCAGCTTTCGGCTGCAACTTTCAACCCATTACGAATTCGAAAATTTAATTTTCAGCCAAATTTTCACTATTTTGACAGGTCGGGGGCTATCAATTTTTGCAAAAAGGCCAGACACCAAATTGCTAATTTTTCTTGGTTTTTATGCCATAGTTCAGCCGAAACAAGTCCTACAGCTAAGTCAAAGACTTTTTTTTGTGCAGCTTTCGACCGCAACTTTCACCCCATAAACTTTTCTGGCTATTCACTATTTCACTATTTAGACAGGTTGGTGGTCTTAAATTTTTGCAAAAAGGCCAAACACCTAATTGCTAATTTTTCATGGTTTTTGTGCCATAATTCAGCTAAAACAAGTCCTAGATCTAAGTCAAAGACTGTTTTGTGCAGCTTTCGACCGCAAATTTCACCCCATAAACTTTTGTGGCCGAGTTCGACTTTAAATTTTTGTCCAATTTTTCACTATTTTGACAGGTTGGTGGTCTTCAATTTTTGCAAAAAGGCCAAACACCAAATTGCTAATTTTTCTTGGTTTTTATGCCATAATTCAGCCAAAACAAGTCCTAGATCTAAGTCAAAGACTGTTTTGTGCAGCTTTCGACCGCAAATTTCACCCCATAAACTTTTGTGGCCGAGTTCGACTTTAAATTTTTGTCCAATTTTTCACTATTTTGACAGGTTGTTGGTCTTCAATTTTTGCAAAAAGGCCAAACACCAAATTGCTAATTTTTCATGGTTTTTGTGCCATAATTCAGCTAAAACTAGTCCTAGATCTAAGTCAAAGACTGTTTTGTGCAGCTTTCGACCGCAAATTTCACCCCATAAACTTTTGTGGCCGAGTTCGAAATTTAATATTTGGCCAAATTTTCACTATTTTGACAGGTCGGTGGTCTTCAATTTTTGCAAAAAGGCCAAACACCAAATTGCTAATTTTTCTTGGTTTTTGTGCCATAATTCAGCTAAAACTAGTCCTAGATCTAAGTCAAAGACTGTTTTGTGCAGCTTTCGACCGCAAATTTCACCCCATAAACTTTTGTGGCCGAGTTCGACTTTAAATTTTTGTCCAATTTTTCACTATTTTGACAGGTTGTTGGTCTTCAATTTTTGCAAAAAGGCCAAACACCAAATTGCTAATTTTTCATGGTTTTTGTGCCATAATTCAGCTAAAACTAGTCCTAGATCTAAGTCAAAGACTGTTTTGTGCAGCTTTCGACCGCAAATTTCACCCCATAAACTTTTTTGGCCGAGTTCGACTTTAAATTTTTGTCCAATTTTTCACTATTTTGACAGGTCGGGGGCCATCCATTTTTGCAAAAAGGCCAAACACCAAACTAATCATTTGTCTTGGTTTTTATGCCATAATTCAGCCGAAACAAGTCCTACAGCTAAGTCAAAGACTTTTTTATGCAGCTTGCGACCGCAAATTCACCCCATAAGCTTTTGTGGCCGAGTTCGAAATTTAATATTTGGCTAAATTTTCACTATTGAGACAGGTTGGTGGTCATCAATTGTTGCAAAAAGGCCAAACACCAAATTGCTAATTTTTCTTGGGTTTTATGCCATAATTCAGCCAAAACAAGTCCTAGATCTAAGTCAAAGACTGTTTTGTGCAGCTTTCGACCGCAAATTTCACCCCATAAACTTTTGTGGCCGAGTTCGACTTTAAATTTTTGTCCAATTTTTCACTATTTTGACAGGTTGTTGGTCTTCAATTTTTGCAAAAAGGCCAAACACCAAATTGCTAATTTTTCATGGTTTTTGTGCCATAATTCAGCTAAAACTAGTCCTAGATCTAAGTCAAAGATTGTTTTGTACAGCTTTCGACCGCAACTTTCACCCCATAAACTTTTGTGACCGAGTTCAAAATTTAATTTTTGGTCAAAATTTCACTATTTTGACAGGTCGGTGGTCTTCAATTTTTGCAAAAAGGCCAAACACCAAATTGCTAATTTGTCTTGGTTTTTATGCCATAATTCAGCCAAAACAAGTCCTAGATCGAAGTCAAAGACTGTTTTGTGCAGCTTTCGACTGCAAATTTTACACCATAAACTTTTGTGGCCGAGTCCGACATTAAATTTTTGTCCAATTTTTCAATATTTTGACCGGTCGGGGGCGATCAATTTTTGCAAAAAGGCCAAACACCAAAATGGTCATTTGTTTTTTGTTTTTATGCCATAATTCAGCCAAAAGAAGTTCTAGAGCTAAGTCCAAGACGGTTTTGTGCAACTTCCGACCGCAACTTCCACCCCATAAACTTATGTGGCCGAGTTCGAAATTTAATTTTTGGATAAATTTTCACTATTTAGACAGGTTGGTGGTCTTCAATTTTTGCAAAAAGGCCAAACACCAAATTGCTAATTTTTCTTGGTTTTTATGCCATAATTCAGCCAAAACAAGTACTAGATCTAAGTCAAAGACTGTTTTGTGTAGCTTTCGGCAGCAAATTTCACCCCATAAACTTTTGTGGCCGAGTTCGACATTAAATTTTGGTCCAATTTTTCACTATTTTGACAGGTCGGGGGCCA